ATATATATATATATATATATATATATAGTAAATGTTTTAAATACTTAAATAGGTCTATAGACACATACAGAATCAGCATACATCATTAATACTCCTAGCACTCCAGAGAAGATATGCTATTGAATAAATCCACCGTGGGGATTATAGTTTTCTGAACATAGATTAATCTAACCCCAATCCCCCCAGTCCACCACCACCACCACCAGCCTAAAAAACAACAACAACACTAGGCAAGAAAAACAACAACAAAATGCTCTGCAACCTTGAGCCTCATCAGTAGGGCACAATAATACACTTTGTTGGGGTGATGAAAAAACAAGCAGATGGTGGCATGTCTTATGTGCCACAAACACATTGACATTTGAGGTGGAATGACCTCATTTTATGCCGATTCTGTCCTCAGTCTGGATTTGATTTGCCAGAATGAATCTTTTGAGACTCTCTATCTTTCTTTTGTTGGGGACGGTAATGGAAAAAAAAAAGTTTTTGAATGTATATGAAGACGGTTTCAAGGCATTAACAGACGTTCACCTGCAAACCATAACCAAATTTCATGCAGGATCCCACCAATAAAAACATAACTGAAAATGTCTCATCAGGGGGTGATTTAAAACACTTTAGTGGATTAAATCCAGAGCGTGAAAGGCACCCAGCCATTTTGGCGCTAGTCCCACCGCTTAGCAACATGGTACAAATGGGGCCAATTTTGGCCAAGGACATCAGGCTGTACACTTGTTTAATCTGTGCTGAGAGGATGAATAAATGGAGAGAGAGAAAAACAGATCATTGTCATGTGATATTAAAATCAAACCAGTTCATATTTTTCATTTTGCCTCTTCATCACTATTTGTTCCCATCAGGCATCTCTAATAATGTCATTCTTTCCTACAAAACTGCCCAACCACAAGGAAGACAACAAAATGGCCCTGTTCCAAACCCCGGGGGTCTGCTTAACCGTGTGCTGACATATCTAAAACTGGAATGGGGACCCTAAGTTACAAACCTGATATGCTCTAAATAGGATATTTAGATAGGATATGTACAATAGGTTATGCACATTTCTTAATCCTAAAATGTGTTTTAATATCACTATTAGTATGGCTAGTATGATCTCTGTATAATATCTGCCTTTCAATGCAAGATATTTAAAGTGTATTCTTATAGATCCACTTTAGCACAATCAAATATACTTAGGCTATCCAGAAATAGTGCGGAGGTCCAACTAAAGATATATTTAGTACACAATTTGTTGTTACAATGTAGCAGCCTTTGAGGTTAACAATTTAATATACTAACAGTACAATTACTAACAGTACAATTACAGGGTGTTTGTATTAAGTATATGTAAATTTATTTGCCGTATATTTATTTTTCACTAGTGTTAAAACAATCACAAGGGGTTATTACTGATAGTATATATTTTATGTCATAGAATAAAACGTGAAAATATCTTGATCTTGTGTTTATGACAGCCCTTATTTCAGGTCTTTTAACTTGAAAGCCTGAAATGCACTGAAAAGTGCTGAAATGCCAAGTCGTTTCCGGGTTTTAGCCTAAAAATACGTTGTCCCCGCAGAACTCAGAACAACAACAGTTTAATTGTAATTAGATAACTATTTTTTATCTATGGTTTTCTTTACTGAATGAAATAAATTTCTTCCGATGTTTATCCAGATGGATCACCCTGCTTCTTAACAATATTATCTTTGGCTTGGATCCCATTTCCCAAACATGGGAATATGTATTTTGTCTTGTAGCAATTGTATTTTTTTTTTTTCACGTTTTTCATTTATTTATGCTTAAAAGTAGTGAAAAACTAATCCGCCACTGTCAGAAGACAAATTTTGCTTTTCAAGCAGTTTTGCTGTTCAGTCGAATTTATCAGGATTATACATGGGTCCATGTACTGCTGCTTAGATTTTGGCTCAAACAAGGTATCTTAATAATAATACTGTTTTTTTTGGAACCATCTTTTTATATGGTGCACACTTATGATGATGCTGTCTAGGTAGGCAGTTCACTGGTTTGCAGCATAACCAAAATAACTAGAAACATTTTCAATCATATGATATTTACTCACAAACTTCTATTTCAGTTATACACCCTCTGTATTCTGAAAATCAGTTACTATTGTCGTAATTTTGATACAAGGTTTGCAGTTTTTGATTGGTTTTAGGGTACATTTACACAACTATGTTGTTTTCACATACAGACAACTATATTGTTAAAACGTTTTCACATGGATCGGCGAAAACGACTAAAAGTGCTGTATTCTGCTGCCAGGCCAGTAGTTGGCGATGTCACTTTGTAAAGAAAAACGATACGCCTATAGAGTGCCGAAGTTATGACTTCACTTTGTAGGACAACTCGGAAGATAGCGAGGCATGGGTTCCCTCGATCGAAAAGCTATGCATCTTCCCCATAGACTTTTGGAAAATCTAAAAAAATAAGATCTGTGTTCAACAAAGAGTTGTGACCCTTACACGTTTTGTCTATCAAGATAATCTTTACAAGTTAATCCAAAATGTATATATTTCGAAGCCTATATAAAGTTTAAAAAAACACAAGCAGACACAATAAAGTTTAAAAAAAAACCCAAGCAGGTCATAACTGGTGTATTTTATGTCATAGATCAAAATGTGAAAATATTTAGAGTTAACCACAGACCTTATTTCAGGCGATTTATCAAAAACCCATTCAAAAATCCCATAGACTTTAGGGCGAGGGAACCGGAAGTGCTACTAACTCACTTCGCGTATTGGCCTACAAAGTGACATCATAACTTCGGGACTCTATAGACACGTAATATGCATGGTCCACATGATATCATTTTTGTAGTTTACAAAAATGAGGCGATAACGTTACTGACCCCAAATCAGCTAAAATGCATTAAAAGTAGTAAAAGAGTCTTGTAAATGGACTCTCAGCGGAAGGTTTGCCGCACTTTGACAGCATAGACGTTTCTCAATATCTGCAAGTGCTATGAAATATTCCAACACAGTCTCATGAAGATGCGTATCTATACCACGAGTGTCATTTCTCGTGGCATTTATACGCCAAAAGTGTTTTTTTCGTGTATATGGTACGCACTAAAAAACCCTGGGTTAGGTTTAGGGGGGAGGGGGGTGGGGAGTTTGTGCGTATTATACGCAAAAAAGTGCGTATCATATGTACGCGAAAATCACGTGCCATATACACGCAAAAACTGTTTTTGGCGTATAAATGCCACGAGAAATTACATTCGTGCCATAGATACGAACTTTCATGAGATCGGGCTGGATGTCAACTGGCTTTCTCTCATTTATCTTTCATTTTCTTTGGCAATTCGAATTAGTCAGTCCTCAAAAACATCCATTTGCGGTGTCTGGGACTAAAACACTGAAAGTGGCCTCCCTTTTTACATACAGAACTAATCACCCCTGACAAATGAATCTGGTCTGGTCCAGAATTGCCTCGGCTTTTTTTTGTTTTGTTTGGGCCACATAGATTTATTTTATAAGCTGCTTTGTTGAGACAAATGTGGTGTGACAGATTGAACTGCATCTTGTGAGGTGAATGTACTTGAAGATGACAGTGATGTGAAAAAATTTGCGCTGCTGGGGAAAAAAAAGACAACCGAGATGCGATCACACTATTGTCTCCACCGGACCTTTTAGCCCCAGTTCTGTCTTTGCAGAGGTTTAGAGAAAACACACGGCTTGATGTTGGGTATTGTTTCGCATTTGTTTGATTATTGCCATCAGGGCCTGAAATTAACACCCGACCACCTGCCAAATGCGGGTGAATTTTCCTATTGGCGGGTAACACTGTCAATCTACCTGCCACATTGGCAGGTAGCCAATGAGAATTGAGTGATTCATTAGGATTTTTACATTTCAACTAAGTCCGCCATTGCGTTTGACTTTAGCTAAAATGTGGCGGCACATTACTGAGGTAAAGAAGCCAGCTGAAACAAACAACCAACAAAAAGATGAGGATGAGAAAAAGAAAAGTAAAAGAAGACATTGCAATACAAAGTGGATAATTGGCGGCAATGGCAAGGTTCGTGAGCGGCTGATTTATGACCGCGACTGTTGTTTCGGAACGTTCATGCGATCAGAAGAAGACGATCGAGGCCCTTTTCCGACTACGTTTGGATGTGCGAGTATTAAACTGTTGGTGAGATGGGATGAGATAATGTAACGCTGACGTAGCCTACAGTACAATGACAGTTGCACAGATGTGTGTGCATGTGCAACTGTGCATGTTGGGAGTTGGGAACCAGTGAGAAAATATCCGGTACCTTTACCAATAATAACAATATTAATTTAGTTCATAGTTAACGGTTCCTGAACGCTGTAACTAAAAGCTGTCAGGATCTGTCTACGTGACTAAATCAGCCATCAACCCAGCCGCGTGTGATTTGTTTACATACGAGCTGCGGTAGGTCTATCTGTTGAGTATATACTATATACTGTATATGTTGTGTGAGTGACAAAATCAATGTATAAAAAGATTTTAAAAAATGTATGTTCTTAGAGATATTATTATTACTTGACCGCACTTAAATGTGTATTCTTACAAGTGAAAGAACAATGTTGTGAAATTCCCGTTTTTTTTTCACCTTTATATAAACGTGAAAAAAAAAAACCCCCAAAAAAACAGAAATTTCACAATATTGTTCTTTTTTTTACCATTTTTTGGCTGAGGCAAAAAAAAAAGTGGCTGGTAAAAAGTCTCTGTGGCAGTTGAATTTTTAAATCCACCTGCCACAGTGGCCGGTGGCCGAAAAAGTTAATTTCAGGCCCTGATTGCCATTCATACAGTGTTTGTTGTAAAGTGCACATTTGAATGCATTTATTATAATATGTGAGAACAACATAAATGTATATCTTTCATAAATTTGTAACATGCATCCACATTGAAACACTAGAAATAAATCACTTTTAAAGTGTTATGACCTTCCGCACACAGCACTGCTGGTATAAGTATTGTGATGAAATGTCTTTTTTCACATACAGGTGACCATCCTCATCGTATTGGCCTTGGCTTTTCTGGCCTGCATAGTGTTCCTGGTGGTGTATAAAGCCTTCACCTATGACCACACCTGCCCCGATGGCTTTGTGTATAAGGTAAGAGGATACACACAAAACCAATGTTCTTCTTTTACAAAACATAACTCGCCAGCGCTAAATAAAACGCTTGTGTGCAAATATCTCAAAACCTTTGAAAAACATTTTTTATTTCCATTCTAATTTAATTTATAACTGTCAAATGTTTAGTGATGAATATTATTTCAAATGTCACTCATACGTAGGGATGGGTATCGTTAAGGTTTTATCGGTATTACTACTCTTACCGATACCGCTTATCGATCCGGTACTTTAACGGTATTCTTATCGTTTTTTTTTTTTTTTTTTTTTTTAAGAATTAAGAACATAATTAAACTTTATATTTTGAAATGTAAAATAGAAAAAGCGAAACGAAGAAAAATATATTTTTGTTATGCAGCAGTGTGCAGGCTTTTTTTGTTTATACAAAAAGGATGCATAAGAAAAAAACAAGTACAAACACAAGAATACAATTAATCAAAGATACAAATTATATACAAAGTGCTTTAATTTCAGGAAGGTGTACTAACATCTTTTCAGGTAATTGTTTCTATCTGAAAAGAAACCTAGTAATCAAATATAAAATAGCACTGTATAGTTTATCATAGATAGAATAATGCTTATTAAATCTAAAGTTACTCATTCAAAAGCTGTGAGTGATTTTCTCTGGCTTTTGTTGTTTGATTTGCATTAATGGCTGAATCGTCGGCAGGTTTAGGCTATTAGACTGCTGCCCCTTTAAGACCGATTGCAGATCTAATGGGGACTGATGCACCATCATTTTCTCCCTATTATTTACGTCCATTTAAGACATAATTGTGTTTAAGTGAATAAACTGTGTTTAAGTTAATCTCAGAGCTGGTCATTTTGACATTTTTATGTATATTTGATAGTTAAGGACGCACGAGCCCAAGTATATGCAGTCCGTTTCGGAGCGCGCACCGCCTTGTGAACAGCGTCTCTTGCGCAGGTTTTTGTGTTTTTAATAGCCATTTTTTGATCTTGCAACAGTAGAAGACAGCATTTTGCAACAATCGCTGATCGTGCTGATTCTGACGGTTACGTTTGGGTTTTAGGAAGAACTGACAGCGCTCCGCAGTGCTGTGAAGTAAAGGACAGATCGTCTCGTTTTTTTTAACGGTTTTATCTCAAATATCTTCTTTTTATAATCTTTGGAAGCCAAAATACAAAATATATTAGAATAATATCCCAGATCTAAAGTGTAACCACGTTGAATGTTTAGTTCTGTCCTCATTGTCACTCATTAAGCAGGGCTGTCGTGTTGCGCGTGCTGTGGCTTTGCGTGAGAGATCGCTCTCTCTCTTCTCTCTCTCTCTTCTGAACTGCGAATTGCAAATTTGCATCACAGACTATGATATAGAAATGGCTGGCGAAACATGTTCAAGATAACTTCTTTATAGGAATAATAAATAGTAGCCCAACTTACGTGTATTTACTTAATTTCTCCAGTACCGACAGCAGAACCGATAACGTCCGAGCTTATCGATACAGCGGTCTTTCAAAATTCAGTACCGGGGCCCGTTTAATACCGGGTTTCGGTACCCATCCCTACTCATACGTCACTGCAAATAGTTGTTAAAAGTGATACTCAAGCCCACGCTGTTTGTGGACAAAATTCCACAATATATTTCTTTAAAGGGATCCTATTATGCCTTTTTTAGATTTTTTCAGCTTTCTTTAGTGTGCAGTATTGCTGTTTAATCATGAAAAAGACAGTGGGAGTTATTCTCTATATCTCTGTCACTGTCTCTGAACTCCCTGAAACGCCTCCATTGTAGTCTTGAGTTTTTCGGGAACGAACACGTCACAATATAGAGTGCAAGAATAATTCTGCCTGTTGGTTCCTGAAGTTTATTTTCCATTCATTTCTCCCGTAGGGATTTTAAAAAAGTCTTTGTTTAAGTGTTATACCAAGTGTAACGCTATATGAAACGAAGCCAACCAGCTGCAAGGTGAATCATTACAAACTTCGATTTGAACAAAACAATATGTAAAAATCAGACAAAAGTAAGAGGTACATGACTGTACTTAACAGCTTTAAAGGATTAGTTCACTTTTCAAAAAACCCATATAATGGACTACACTGGGAACCAAACGGTTCAAGGTTCAAAAGACACTTTCAGTACAAACTGCAAACTGTTCAAAGGGCTTTAAATGATTCCAGACGATGAATAAGAGTCTTATCAAGCGAAACGATCGCTCATTTAATAAATAAATAACAAAGTTTAAGTTTTATAAGCTCAAATGCTCGCCTTGCTCTCTTAAGTGATGCGCGTTCATGACTCTCCTGTTTGATCTAGTTCATCAAAATGAACTAATGTTTTTCCGAGTCAATTCGTTCGTTTCGTTCATTGAATGGACTAAATGATTCGGAAAAAATTTTTTCATTTTGATGAACGAGTTCGAACTGGAGAGTCATGAACGTGCATCACAGAACAGAGCAAGGTGAGCATTTGAGCTTATAAAACTTTAACTTTGTTATTTATTTATTAAATGAGCGATCGTTTTGCTTGATAAGACTCTTATTCATCGTCTGGTGTCGTTTAAAGCCCTTTGAACAGTTTGCAGTTTGCACTGAAACGGTCTTTTGGACCTTGAACCGTTTGGTTACCACTGAAGTCGATTATATGGAGAAAAATCCTGGAATGTTTTCATCAAAAACCTTAATTTCTTTTTGACTGAAGAAAGAATGACATGGACATCTTGGATGACATGGGGGTGAGTAAATTATCTGCAAAAGTTTTTTCATATGCAAAATGAAGGGGCGCGGCCTGGTTGAGTTGCATTGGTAGTGTGTTGGTCTAACCCTAACCAATTCATACGAATTCGTTCGAGTGATTAAGAAGTGGTAAATTCGTATTAATTCACACAACCTCACTTGTACAAATTCATACGATTTGTCTAAACTCACGTGATGGGTAGGTTTAGGAGCGGGGTCAGGGGTAGGTCATTCGTATGAATTCATACGAATTGGCCAATTCGTAAAATATGTACAATTTAGCAAAAATCGTACTAATTCGTACGAGTGAGGTCGTACGAATAGTTGCGAATAAGCCACCTCGTAAAATTTGTACGAATTGCCGTGAGATCGGGTTGGAAATTTCCCAAACCAAATTTAAGCAATTGACCAATCACAACACACTGGTCCAGCCAACCAATCAGAGCAACAGTGTGCATTTCGAAGGAGGGGCTTCATAGGGACAAGAACTAAACAGAGCGTTGCAGACAGACCTGTAAGAAAGCTGCTGCAAAAAATGTTTTTGAACATTCAACCATTAGTAGACCCAAAATCAAGACTTTAGAAAGGGGCATAATAGGTCTTTATATGTTTTAGCTTACCTCAAGGGCATCCAAGATGTAGGTGTCTGTTTCCGCAGTAGTTTCAATTTTGATATTTTTAGGTCAAACCGTTCTTGTCTGTCAGTCATATAATGCAGGTCTATGGTCACCACCTCAAAGAGCATGCACAGAGAAGTCCAAATTAAACACGATTTAATGACTCGTAAATGTAAGTACACATTGATGGACTAAGACACGAAACGAGCGGTTTGTGTGAGAAAACGAACAGTATTTATATCGTTTTTACCTCTTGTATTCACAGTCACGTCCAAGTCATCTGAAGGCACGGTCGCTTCGGTCTGTGCAAGCGGCGGAAAGCCCCGGAAGTGATCTCTCGCGCGTGTACGCCACTCATTGTTTACACAGAGATTTCAGAAGTGTTGCCCCTCACTGTGAAGATCTAAAATTTAGATATGCTGGAAATCGCAATGAAAGATGATTTCGACATATATCAACAGACAACATGAATTTTTTCGCAACCGCGCAAGAGATCACTCCCGGCGCTTGTGCAGACCGAAGCGCCCGAGCCCTCAGATCACTTGGACGTGACTGTGAATACAAGAGGTAAAAACGATATAAATACTGTTCCTTTTCTCACATAAACCGCTCGTTTCGTGTCTTAGGCCATCAATGTGTACTTACATTTATAAGTCATTAAATCATGTTTAATTAATACTTCTCTGTGCATGCTCTTTAAGGTGGTGACCATAGACTTGCATTATATGACTGACAGACAAAAACGGTTTGACCTAAAAATATCAAATACTGCTTGTTTAACAAATGCAGGTGTCTGAATTGTAAAAGTTTTAACGCTACACATTTACACCTTTCTCAAAAGCACAAGCGCTGCATCCCTGCCTCTCTGGAGGCCTACTACACGGCCCAGGACGCCAACAGCCGCGGGCGCTTCTACACCGTCATCAGCCACTACAGCATGGCCAAGCAGACCACCTCCCGCTCGGTGTCTCCATGGCTCCCGGCCGGCAGTGCCCAACATGATGCCAAGCCTCCCAACACAGACAGCCAATGAGATCTCACACGCTACTTTTTAAAGGGTTTTCATCACATCCACCTGCATCAACGCCATTCCCTACTCCCCTAATATTTCTACAGGCCCTTTTGTTTCTCATACTTCCATTGTTGATTTTTTTTAGCTGCGCAGTTTTAATCATATTCTTGTTTTTTTATTATTCATATTTATTTTTGTTGTAATATTCAACTATTGTTTGTACAAAGGCATGACTCTGAAATCTTGTCAAGCGGTTTTCCCCACAATGTCTGTGAGTGTCAATGACCCATTATGGAAGCAGAATACCCATAAGCCCCTTACAGTATGTAGTTAGGTAACAACAATCTTGAATGGCATGATAAAACAGGGAGTTTTGTGCTTTTATTTCTGTAACAGCAGAAAACACACATACACGTTAGAATATGAAAACAAAAAACCAACTCGCTAGACTCATTTTTATGTAAGAGTACGACGACCCATCACAGCATATTAATGAAACATTGATTTAGGCCAAAAATAAATTGGCAAAAAAAAAAATACATATTGCAAATGTACAGAATGTTATGGTTCCTACTTTGAACCTCAGTGTAAATACTCATGAGAACAATTGCCATGGTGTGATACATTGTAATATTCCCACTGTTTCTCAATGGATGGAGGTGTCTAGAGCTTTGCGACTTGCTTTAGCCGGTGTCTATGCTTGCATATAACCAAGGGCGAAACCTTGGATTCCTGAGATGATATGGTGAAATGTCTCATCTGAATTCCTGCCAAAGCTTGATTTTCTGCTATGTTTGGTCACAAGTCTGCTCTTTTTTCCATTTTTATATCCGTTGTCAGAAAAAAAAGGGATTTTTAAAAAATCTTGTGCTGTTGTTAGTTGAGATGTAGCAAGCCTTGAGTATTTTTGATTGTGTATCCTTTAGGTTGAAAATAATAAAGATATACACGGTGTTCAATTGCGTCTTTTTGCTCTTGTTTGTGTCTTTTGGTTCTTGCTGGGTAATGGATTTGCATGTGTAGTGTAACTTCAAATCTTCACCGTATTACTTAGGTAAGGTCACTTAAGGGTACTTAAGTAAGAATGTTTTAACTATAAATACACTTTTATAAGTAACTTTGTAATAATGAAAATTAAAAATTTGAACAATATTTGCACTTATTTTGATGTGTTGACCAACATACATGTAAAGAACATGAATATACTGTAGATTTAACTGTAGCGCGTTATTCAATATTTAAACTTAAAATATTTTACATACACTAAATTGCAACTTCATCATTAACAATGTAATTACAAATATATTTCAATAATGACATTTTATATTTTGAAGTTTTAATAGAAATATCATTAAAGTGTATTTTCATTTACCTTAAATGCAGAATTTTAAAAAAAAATATTTCCAACACAATAAAAGCCATTTAAAAAACACTGTTAAGTTCAGCTAATTGTATTTTATATATTATATATTTTTATTTAATTGCAATTGGCATGCAATTAAGTGTCTAAAAAAATTTATATAATTTTTTAAAGCATATTACTTGTAAGTACTTATTTATACCGTGTACTTATTATTATTTTTTTTTTACAAAGGGAAGTAATCTCACCAAAATAATATTAGGAAAAAGTGCTACTAAATGAAACAACTGAAATCTCAGGGGATGCTATTAATTAAAGCTAAATAAATACATAAATAAAAGCCTGATATCATGTACTAATCCATCATCACTGACTTAAATTCGATCTGTTCTTTCTTACACATCATCTATTAGGATAGTTTCATTGTCATTTTTGTACAAATCGTAATGTTTATTTTCACATTCATCCATGGAAAGGAACAACATGCACATTTATCTAAATATCTCCATTTGTCTTCCACAGATCATTAAGGATTTAATGATTGAAAGTTGATGACATAATTTTCCGTTTTGTGTGGCCTATCCATTCAGAGTCTTCTGAGCTTTAAAATTGCAATCGAATGTTCCTTTATTATAATTGATACCTTGGTAATTAATATTTGTGTAATAGCAACACACCAATAGCCTCGTAAACTACGTTTCAAAAATACAATACTTAACTGCTTAAAACCACGTCCAATGACTTGAAATCATTCCGCTGACTCAATATGCTCTTCTTAGTGGGTGGGAGTCTCGTATGAGTGAAGCACAGCAGTCGCACATTAGACTGACAGCTGGTTTATTTCTGCTTGGCTAATTAGCAGCCCTGTTCATCTTGTCTGCTCAGATTCTTCTCCACCTCATATTCTCTCACGCTGAGAAGACTGAGCCACATCCTGAATGCCAAGATACAGATCGAAAAACAACTGCCATGGATATAGTGATTAAATCAACTGGCTATAGATGTGAAATGAGTGTGGTCAACATGAAACAAAATTTTAGAAAAATGGATTATTAAACAATCAAAAACAGGAATGGGTGAGATCCTTAAAAGGTTGGCTATTGGTCATTATTTATAGGTCATGTCATTTAAAGAGGAAAGTAAGTTTTGAGGCAAATTAGCAAGTTATTGATTAAATGTTACAAGACAAACATTTTTCCACTTTAAATTAACATGCACTGAACTTTTTGAGCAATGTGGACACAGGGCCCACGACCTCATCTAAAGTATCCTCATCTATCATCACCTTTAGATCAATTTTAAATTTAATTTTGTTTACTTCAAATCCCCTAAGCAGATTTAAAAGAAACATTTCAGATGAAGTTGAGGATTAAATTAATGACTAAGAACTTCTAATTTAAGTCTCCTGAGCTTCTCGAATTATTCTTACTGTCACATCTATCATGCACTCAATGAGATGCATGATGTGGAATTAACAAGCAAATATACTTAAACACTTTTATTACCACAAAACGTAAGAACGAGAACTGAACAGAACAGGGATCATATATACACATTGTTGAGAAGAAAACTAAATGGGAGACAGGTGAACATAACAATTAACTCATGAGTGGCCAAGATAAATAAGTACGGTAATGAAAACACTACACAGAAAGGACATACAAGAAACCAAAACGCATAGGGGCTGTTTACACCTGGCCTCTTCATGCGTTTTCTCAGATCGGTTAGCTGATTTATCAAAACGATTCCATTTACATCTGGTGACATAATGCCTGCTTCAGATTAGACGATTTTAGCCCGATTTTGGCGCGATCCGTTTGACGTAGGGTGTCGTGGGGATTCGTAAATGACAACGGCCGTCGGGAAGCAAGAGTCGATCGCATCATCTCGTATAGTGTGTCATAGTGGGCGACAACTAACGTCGCGTCTGCGATGCTTCACGACATCACGACAAAAAGACTAGCATGTTTAATTTTTTTAACGGTCGTCCACGACGGGTTCCGTCACATGTATGAGTTTGACCAATAGGAGCACAGAAGCTTTTCCGTTCACAACTTTCAAAAATGGCGAAACGAATGAGAGACGATGGTACTAACGTTAAAACTAAAAGCAAAAATATATAAGAAAACAATATTTTACCTCAAGTTCTCTTTGGAGGATTGACAGCCCAAACTGTCCTCTTCGAGCAATCCAGGAACGCGTCCACTGTCGGGTTTCTTTCTTTTTTTACTTTTTTTTTCTGAACACAGGACAGCCAATACAACACTCACCGCTTCATCCATTGTTTGTTTACGTTCGTTTCCGGAAGTCACTCGCTACTAGTTTTGCCTTCTCGATGACATCACATGCGCCGTTAAAGACGGCATGCGATGACTGGTCAGGGAGCAACGTGTAGTCTGACGTGTCTTGACCACGACACGACAAGATTTTAGGAGTCAAAATCGCGTAATCTGACACAGTGACTATTGTAACAAACAAACAAAATCGTGTAATCTGAACTAGGCATAAATGTGTTTTTGCAAAACGGATATAAATCCAATCTTCAATTCCCGCGCTATATGCGGATTTAATGGAGTCACGTCACCGAAAGCAACATATATTGCTGCATTTTACTGATCATTCGCTAATTTCAAAATCAAAGACGGCATTAAGAGAGAGTGTTAACAGAACTGATAAGATCATTTCTTTTACTTTAATGAAGATGGTAGTGTTAAGCGTCTGCGACTTACTTTTACATTGATTTGCAATAGATTGCGGCGCGTAGGCTTGGTGAATAGGCACTTGGATGCTCATCTGAGGTGATGCGCGTCGCAGTAGCGTCGTCATATCTGACTAAAATAACATGACATATAGCATATAACACGCTCACACGTTTATTTTTGAAGCATTTTTGGGAGTAGTAAAATTTACATATGTGGTTTCAACAACCAGATGCATTTACACTTGTCCAGTTTCTTCTGGAATGTGGCCAAGACCACCTCATGAAGTGGTTTGAGCGATCGGATTTAAATCTGTCTCAAATACATTTCGGAGGGCATTTACACCTGGGGCCTCATGTACAAAGACTTGCGTTGAATTCATACTAAAACATAGCGTACGATCAAAGCTGTAAATGTGCGTGTACACGCACAAAAAAACCCAGATGTATGAATGTCTGCGTACGAAGGATCCCACGCATATTCTCTTTGTACATCCCAATTAACGTAAAATTGAGCGCACATGCACAAGCACAAGCACAACGCCCCACCCAGTGTGAATATATGTGAAAGTGTAATTTATTCCTGTGATCAAAGCTGAATTTTCAGCATCATTACTCGTCTTCAGTGTCACGTGATCCTTCGGAAATCACTCTAATATGATGATTTGATGATCAAGAAACATTTATGATTATTATCAGTGTTGAAAACAGCTGTGCTTCTGCTTCATATTTTCATGGAAACCGTGATATAGTATTTTCAGGATTCTTTAATGAATAAAAACCTAAATCAAACACATATAGAAATCTTATAATCGTTTTTAACATTATAAATGCATGTACGGGCACTTTTAAACAAATTCAATATGTCCTGGCTGAATAAAAATATTACTTTTTTTTTTTTTTTACCTTTACTGACCGAAATAATGAAGTTTATTTTTTATTTCCTATAGTAAAGCCAACGCTGCCATTGCTAGACGGGTTTGCACATGCTTTATGTTCTTACTTTATTGCATAATAGAATATTTTAATAAGACTCGTGTGACATAACTTGTAATTGATACATTATTTGACATATCATTAAGCAATATCTGACAGCTGGTGGTGCGATAGAACAATTCGTAGAGTAATGTTTGCCACTTCACCTTACTGCCTCTAGGAGTCGCCAACGGACAAATCAAGGCAAATGTACGTACGCCAGACATGAAGTTTACTTGGAGGAACGCACATTCTTCCGTTAATTTCACTGTTAGTACATCTGGCCGTGAACGTGAAAGCTGGCGTACGCCGTGTTTTTGTACGTACGCAGTGTTGATACATGAGGCCCCTGGTCTTTTCACGATCGGATAGCTATCCGATCACAGAAAACGCATGAAGTGGCCAGGTGTAAACAGCCCCTTAGACTTGTGGTGAATCCATAAGTTTGTTTGGCCGGAAGCTAGTTATTTTACTTTATAATGTTTTTAAAGGACAAGTTCGGTATTTTACATTTAAAGCCCTGTTTTAAGATCGTTTCTGATTAAATAGAATGGTTGGGATTGTTTTTTAGACAGATGCTGCTGTCACGAGAATTTTCGGTTTCTGTGTTAGCACCCCCACCTTTATAATGGTAGCATAGGTGCACTGGAACAATCATTCATAAAAACGCATAAAACTTTAGTTTACAAAGACTTGAAACTCATTCAATTCTCATTCATTCTGTGTGACGCATGGATCTGTTGGATCATCTATACAGCTCAACTTTTACAAGAACAAGCATACTGATCTCATGAAATGGCATATGACACGCCAATTCGTATTTCCATTTTTGGAGTGCTATCAACACGCATAATCGCTTTTTCAGTGTGTTTATGAACGCTGTTGACTTAACGTTACATTACTGTATAAATATATGTGACCTACCC